CTCACAGAATTTAAGGAACTTGAAACAGGCAAGCCGAGTAGAAGGGCAGGGCAGTGCTGTCCTCGGTGTGGGCCTTAGCTCCTCCTCACGGTGGGCTGGGCCAGCGGCAGGAATAAACTGGAGCTTGTGTAGGTTCTCCTCCCGCAGCAGGAGATTTTGTCAGAAAATGTAGCAGCGCATGTGATAGACTGTGACACCGCCCGCTCCACAGAAGTCCTGATACTCAGGGTGCCTTTGCTGAGGGCACTATCGTTACTCTGAGTTTGGGGACATCAGTCACTCATTGTCCCCACAGCTTAGTGAACATTTGTGTGAAAAAGAGGAATGGGCGGGTCAGGGATATAGTTCAGTGGCGTAAGCGCCTACCTGGCAAGTGCAAGGTCCTGAGTTCGATCCCTGGTTCTGTTCCCCTCCCCCCCCAAAAAAAAGAAAAAGAAATGGGCCTTTACCTTGTCCTGAGGTAAGCTTGTAGCTGATCTGATGGAGCTGCTGCCCTTTGTCCCCTACTTGTGCTGTAGCTAAGAATATGGGGAGATACGGTAGTCTCCTACTTCCTCACCTAGTCTTTAGAAGTGATTTGTAATCCCAGCGCTTGGGAGACTATAAAGAGGAGGATCACAAGTCTGAGCTGTGTAGTGAGACCCTGTACCAAATACATAAAGAAAAAAAAAAAGAAAGAAATGACCCTTACTGTTGTTTGATTTTTGTGGTACCAAGGATTGAACTCAGGACCCTGCGCTTGCCAGGCAAGCGCTTATTCTACTGAACTATCTCCCTGGCTTGACCCTCACTGTTGTGATTTCTGTTTTATCCATCATTTTCCTTTGATTTTTTTTTCACAACCTTTTACTTCATAGAATATCCCTAAGCTTAGGGTCTCAGGTCATTTTTCTAAACCAGGAGCCCTCTTGTGAGGCCCCAGTCTCATTTCCTGGCCAAGGGTGGTGTGGGTTGGGCCACCAGTCTCCATGTGTCAATAGCAGCTCGGGGCTTTACCCCCATCTTCCCCTTCTGCCGCTCCTGAGGGCGCAAGGTCACCTGGGCCATGTACTATGTACTTGGACATGTGAAATTCATGCCTTTTGTTTTAACTTTAATTGTCTCTACTTCTGGAGCTAATCAATGACTTTATTTTATAGAATCAGAGAAAGATCTTCGATATATTGGCAAAATTTTGGATGGATTTTCCTTGGCTTCTAAACCTTTATCATCTAAAAAAGTAAGACCTTTTTTATTAAAATATTTTTTTTTTTCTGGTCTGGTATGGTTATGGAGTCCAAGTTGTTATGTTAATTAAAAAGGTAGGGAAATTCTGCTTTCCAGAAAAACATTCAGAGGTAGGCCCATGCCTATAATCTTAGCACTGGGGAGGCTGAAGTGGAATTGTGAGTTTGGGACCAGTGTGGACCATGTAGGGAGACAGTGTCTGGAAAAAAAAAAAAAAAAGAACTGCATTTGAAACATCAGTCAGTAGCTATGCTGTGTTTAGAACATCTAACTCTAACCCGTCTCCCCACCCCTATCCTGGGGGGATAGAATTTAGGGGGATTCTCCCACTAAGTGACATCACCTACCCTTTTTTTATTTTGAGACAGGCGCTCACTAAGTTGTCCCAGAGGAGCTACAATGTACAATACTTCTGCCTTAGCTTCCTGAACCACTGAGATCAAAGATATGACTAGTTTGCCCAATTTAATTACTAATCTTTTAAATCCAAACTTCAAATTAAGGCTTATTTCCCTTAAAAGAGACACAGCAGGGGCCAGGACAACAGCTAGAGTCCAGGTGCAGCGTAACTCTAGGAAAAGTAGGAAACTTTCCCACAAACATCGGAACCCACAGTCCTGGTTCTTCCTGGGGCTCTGAAGCCAGTGTGAGCCTGGTTCCCTGGACTCCGTAGCAGCGGCCAAGTAGAGGGGAGAAGGACGAGCTGTGGGTCAGGTTCAGAAAGATCTGAGGGCCCCTCTGGAAAATCTTGTTCTGAGATTTTATTGCAGTGCATGTGAAAATGTGCTCTCAGGCCAAGAGGTGCTCTTCCTTTAGCTCCCATCAGCCCCTGCTGCCAGCACACACGCGGGAGCCAGGTACAGGGTGCTACAGCTCAGGAGGGGCGCCTGGTCGTGGGCTATGTCAGCACGCCTTATTTAGAT